TCCAGGTGGATTATACCTTGTTGTTGTCAGGTCAAATTGGACTTTAATTTGGTGGTGAATGGTAATGGATATCTAATGATTTTTTTATTATCAAAGGAAAACTGGCCCAAATTAGTAAAAAAAAATTTTCTTTTAAATTTAGGTGTATAGTTTTCTGCTGCTACCATAACCTACTACCAAAGAACAATTCTCCTGCTCCTGACATTTGGCAATACCACATACGTGTATGTGTTGTTTGTACCCAGAAACAATAGTGCACATTTTGTTTTGTTTTTTTAATTCTGCCTAAAATACACTGACACTAAAAGACTAATACTAATTTAAAAATTAGAAAAAAAAATACTGACCCTGACCTTTGACCCAAACACTAATTTGACACTGGCACTGACCTAGATCAAACCTTGATCTAGGTTTTTTTATTTTATTATTTTTTTTTTTTTTCAGCAAGACCCTGTTCTCTGTGCTGCAAGCGCACAGTGTGGCATGATCCCAACACAAAGCCAGGTACACAAATTAGCGGCCCCACATAAAAAAAAGCCCAGTCCAGTGGGGCCGCATATTTGCGTATGGTTGGCGTGAAGGGGTTAATGTTTCTCTTTGGAACAAATGGGCTAATATATCTAGGACCTAATTTTTTGTGGATGGGCAAAGCAATTTTAGGTTGGCAGGTGAAAGCCACACCTTGTCTTCAGGTTTGAGATTCAAGCCACCTCTCCTTTTTATATTAAAAAATATTATTAGACTGTAGAAATTCCAGACTTATTGTAACTGCGGGGACTGAAGAATTGAAGCCAAGTAATGTATGAAGGATGGATTAAACCCAAAATTTGCAAAGAATGGAGCCTGCCCTGTGGCTGAGTGTATAGATTATCATATGCAAACTCTGCTAAAGCAAGAATTGATGCTTAGTTGCCTGTGAAAATGGTGAAAACCGCCAGAGATATTGCTATAGTGTCTGATTTGTACACTCCATCTGACTGTTTGTCTGTGGATGGTAATCTGAAGGAAAACAGGTTTCAGTTTTAAGTGCCTTTTAGAGTTCCTTCCTAAACTTAGATATGAATTTCACTGTGCGACTGAAGGTGATGCTACTAGGTATGTCATGAAGTCTATTTCTTTAGCAAATATGTGGGCAGTCTCCATTGCTGAAGGTATCCCCATCATAGGCACAAAGTGAGCCATCACAAAAATTATAGTAAATCTTTCACTGGAGGAAGTTCAACAATAAAGTCCATACTGATTATCTCCTAAGGCCCGCTGGGAATGGGTAAGGACCTTAACAAAGCCAATACTTTAATCTGGTTATTCTTACTTCAACTGTATGGCTCACAAGCCCTCACAAAATCCTGATGATCAGACAGACTGGAGCATGACACAGACTGAACATTTTGGGACATATAATTGGGGCACAAAGATCTTCTAGCATGGAAAAACAATCCTGCCTACTGCTTCCTGTAAATGGAGGTCCTGTGCTAAGACATCATTTGCCAAAGCTGAGCTGACAGGATTGTATCTGGTTGGCAATACTCCTCATCCTCTGAAATAATTTACAATAGTGCATCTGATTTACTGTTTTTAGAACCCAGTCTATAGGTTATGTAAAATGAAAACAGAGAGAAGAACAGTATCCATGTGGCTTGGCAAGGTTTCAGGCACTTGGCAGATGTCAGGTATTATACATTTTTGTGATCCGGATTGGGTCAGCTGTGCCTTCAAGCAGGGATTCTTCCAAAACAACTACTGGCTTACAGTTCACAGTCTCCCACACTGTAATTATTTTTCACAGGGCTGAGTTTTCTGGAAAAGAAAGCTATGGGATGCAAGAGAGATTGGACCCTCTGGCGTTGTAATATGGTAATGCCTACAGCTTTTCTGAAGTGTCCTGAGAACAAAGGGTAATGCAGGGTCAGGATTTCATAAGATTGGTACTGAGGTAAAGAGAGTCTTCAGTTTTTCAAATGCAATTTGTGATGCTGGTGTCCACTGGAACTGTGTATTCTGCTTTTTCAGCTGGGTAATAGGGTAAATGATGGCAGAAAAGTCCTTAATAACTTATGATAGAAATCGGTAAATTGAACAAATTCTTGAGCGATCTTTCAATCTATCAGTACAGGCCACTTGAGGATGGATTTGGCCTTTGGAGGTCAATTGAGATACAGTGCTTTGAAAAAGTATTCCCCCTGAAATTTATCACATTCTGTCATGTTACAACCAAAAATGTAAATTTATTTTATTAGGATTTTATGTGATAGACCAACACAAAGTGGCACACAATTGTGAATTGGAAGGAAAATGATAAATGGTTTTCAAAATATTTTACAAATAAATATCAGAAAAGTGTGGCATGCATTTGTATTCAGCCACCTTTACTCTGATACCCCTAACTAAAATCTAGTGGAACCAATTGCCTTCAGAAGTCACCTAATTAGTAAATAGAGTCTACCTGTGTAGTTTAATCTCAGTATAAATACAGCTGTTCTGTGAAGCCTTTAGAGGTTTTTTTAGAGAACATTAGTGAACAAACAGCATCATGAAGTCCAAGGAACACACCAGGCAGGTCAGGGATAAAGTGGAGATGTTTAAAGCAGGGTTAAAAATTATCCCAAGCTTCGTACATCTCACGGAGCACTGTTTAATCCATCATCTGAAAATGGAAAAGGTATGGCACAACTGCAAACCTAGCAAGACATGACCGTTCACTTAAACTGAAACTAGAGCATGAATCAGAGAAGCAGTCAAGAGGCCCATGGTAACTCTGAAGGAGCTGCAGAGATCCACAGCTCAGGTGGGAGAATCTGTCCACAGGACAACTATTAGTCCTGCACTCCACAAATCTGGCCTTTATGGAAGAGTGGCAAGAAGAAAGCCATTGTTGAAAGAGAGCCATAAGAAGTTACATTTGCAGTTTGCAATAAGCCATGTGGGGGACACAGCAAACATGTGGAAGAAGGTGCTCTGGTCAGATGAGACCAAAATTGAACTTTTTGGCCTAAAAGCAAAACGCTATGAGTGGCGGAAAAACTAACACTGCACATCACCCTGAACACACCATGGTAGTGGCAGCATCATATTGTGGGGATGATTTTCTTCAGCAGGGACAGGGAAGTTGGTCAGAGTTGATGGTGGGAAGATGAATGGAGCCAAATACAGGGCAATCTTACAAGAAAACCTGTTAGAGTCTGTAAAAGACTTGAGATTTGGGGTGGAGGTTCACCTTCCAGCAGGACAACAATCCTAAACATACAACCAGAGTTACAATGGAATGGCTTAGATCAAAGCATCTAGATCAACTGTGGGTGTAGGATTATAACTTTTTTTTTATGGTTGAACTAGATGGACTTTTGTCTTTTTTCAGCCAGACTAACTATGTAAAGCATATTCATGTGTTAGAATGGCCCAAAGTCCAGACCTAAATCCAATTGAGAATCTGTGGCAAGACTTGAAAATTGCTGTTCACAGACGCTCTCCATCCAATCTGACAGAGCTTGAGCTATTTTGCAAAGAAGAATGGGCAAAAATTTCACTCTCTAGATGTGGAAAGCTGGTAGAGACATCCCCAAAAAGACTTGCAGTTGCAATTGCAGCGAAAGGTGATTCTACAAAGTTTTGACTCAGGGTGGCTGAATACAAATACAAGCCACACTTTTCAGGTATTTATTTGTAAAAACCTTTGAAAACCATTTATCATTTTATTTCCACTTCACAATTATGTGCCACTTTATGTTGGTCTATCACATAAAATCCCAAGAAAATACATTTATGTTTTTGGTTGTAACATGAAAAAATGTGGAAAATATTAAGGGGTGTGAATACTTTTTCAAGGCACTGTACTAGTGGTTGAAATCATAAGTCCCAGGTATTGAATTGTCACTTTTTTTGGTTTTCATACACAGTTTATGTTCTTTGATTTCACTGCAGATTTTCCGAACATAGTCACAATACATTTCTATGGATGAAGAAAAGATAGGTATATCATTGAGATAAATGACTGTAAAAAGATCAAGGCAGTCATTCACAAAGTGCTGCAAAGTGGTCTGGGAGTTGCATAACCCAAAAGGTATCACTAACTGCTTAAAGAAGAATTCTAGGTATAGATATTTTATATGGTTCAGCTTGGATTAATGTAACTATGCATATACCATACCTGTGGGATCCCTCCAAAAGTGCACTAGACAAAGCGATCTCTGAATGCGAATTCTGAATGGTGCCCTTGCAGAGTGGGTGATCTTCTGTGTTCAGAATGTGGGAGAGCCTTTATAGTGCAGTATGTAGATGGTATTATTTGTAGTATATATTATATAAAAAAGATGAATGAATGCAAAAAAGAATCAAATTACGTTGGGCGAAGTTGTGAATGACCAGGTTGTATGTTAGACTCACCTTTCCAGGTGCGCATGTGGAGAATGTCTCTGTCTCCAAGCAGGGAAAAAGTATGTCACCCTTGTTGATTCATCTTTAGCTTCACAAATGTTTCAAAAAAGGAGATGCAAATAGCTACAAATACTTTTAAAATATAACCATTTAAAATCCTGGATGACAAATATCCCCTATGAATTCCAGAGGGTACAAAGGAATTGGTCCTCCCTATACAATGCTGGCAAAAAAATTAAAGAAAAGCATTACCCTGAGAGTTTAATTCATAATTCTGGAATGCGAGCAAGAGACCTAAACAAGTAGTCACTCCTATCTAAAATTGGCCACAGCTGCACACCCTAAAGGATCATAAAATAAACATCATAACCAGATAGAATGTTAATTATAAAGAAATGTAAGCCTATTCTATTAACCCAATGTCACATCCTACTCAGTGATCCATTTTTAAAAACAACTACCAGGGAAATCAGACCTTCTGATTGGCTGTGTTGACTAGAGATGAGCGAATTATTCAAAAATTCGATTCGGCTGATTCGGCGAATTCGCGGAATAAATTTGATTCGAGTCGAATATATTCGCTGCGAATTTAACTTATAAAAAGGGTGTTTCTAGGCTTCAGAGAGCCTTTATATTAGTGCAGAACACTGTACCTTTAATTTAAATGCCCTTGGAGTCTGCTGGGGAAGAGAAATAATACTGTCAGTCAGTATGACATGCAGATGAGTGCCGTCGATCTTAGAATCACCGCACACTTCACTCATTTGGGCAGTCAGGGGGCCAAAACCAGAGTGTGGAGCCACAGTGTGGCGGTGGAGGCAGCAGCAATGGGAGGCCATACAGCACCCTATGAAAAAATGGAACCCACCAGCAGTGTGAGGAGACCTGAAAGTGGCACATGGCAGAGTGTGGCGATGGAGACAGCAGCAATGGGAGGCCGTACAGGGACCCATGACACACTCTGGACCTGGCAGCAGCATGAGGAGGCGGTACAGGGGCCCATGACAGATTACGGGCCTGGCAGCAGCATGAGGAGGCGGTACAGGGGCCCATGACAGATTACGGGCCTGGCAGCAGCAATGGGAGGCCCCGTAATCTGCCAGCACCCTATGACAAAATGGAACCCACCAGCAGTGTGAGGAGACCTGAAAGTGGCACATGGCAGAGTGTGGCGATGGAGACAGCAGCAATGGGAGGCCGTACAGGGACCCATGACACACTCTGGACCTGGCAGCAGCATGAGGAGGCGGTACAGGGGCCCATGACAGATTACGGGCCTGGCAGCAGCAATGGGAGGCCCGTAATCTGCCAGCACCCTATGACAAAATGGAACCCACCAGCAGTGTGAGGAGACCTGAAAGTGGCACATGGCAGAGTGTGGCGATGGAGACAGCAGCAATGGGAGACCGTACAGGGACCCATGACACACTCTGGACCTGGCAGCAGCATGAGGAGGTGGTACAGGGGCCCATGACAGATTACGGGCCTGGCAGCAGCATGAGGAGTCGGTACGGGGGCCCATGACAGATTACGGGCCTGGCAGGTGACGTCGAGGCTGCCAAGTGCGATCAGCCTCATCATCATCAATTAGGGTCTCCGCCTCACTACTAGCCCCCTCGGCTGCGTGTGGGTCAGGAGACAGACCTGTCTCTAGACCGGCTACCGAGCCACTCTCCTCGCCAGTACTTCTTCGCCTGGCTGCTGAAGAGGCGGATGTCTCCCCCCGTTCCTGACCGCCCTCTGTTAGCTCTTCCTCACTGTACAGTGGGGCTGAGCCCACAGCATGCGATACTTCGCTTGGTGAGAGAACACCAAAGGACAGGGGCAGGTAGAGGACACGTGATTTCAGTGGGCTTGCTCCCGGGCCATGCCAACTAACGGTTGTGTCTGACGTACCCACCGACCGTTGGCTGTAGGTGTCAGAGGTGACCTGGGAAGAGGAAGACGACCGAGCCAACCAATCGATGATGGCAGGGTTGTCGGTGGAGACACGACCGCTGGATGACACCGGGAGCACTGGCCTCTGGCTGCGACTAGTGCTGCCTCGACCCCTTCCTCTGCTGCCACGTCTGCTCGCTCCTGAAACATTGCCTCCTCTGCCACTCCTCTGCGTGTTGTCTGACATACTCTTTAATTCAACGATTCTGTGTCCCTGAGTAACGATTCTGTGTCCCTGAGTAACAATTCTGTGTCCCTCAGTAACGATTCTGTGTTCCCTGAGTAACAATTCTGTGTCCCTGAGTAACAATTCTGTGTCCCTGAGTAACGATTCTGTGTCCCTCAGTAACAATTCTGTGTCCCTGAGTAACAATTCTGTATCCCTGAGTAACAATTCTGTGTCTGTCCCTGAGTAACAATTCTGTGTCCCTGAGTAACAATTCTGTGTCCCTGAGTAACAATTCTGTGTCCCTGAGTAATGATTCTGTGTCCCTGAGTAACAATTCTGTGTCCCTGAGTAACAATTCTGTGTCCCTGAGTAACAATTCTGTGTCTGTCCCTGAGTAACAATTCTGTGTCCCTGAGTAACAATTTCTGTGTCCCTCAGTAACGATTCTGTGTCCCTGAGTAACGATTCTGTGTCCCTGAGTAACGATTCTGTGTCCCTGAGTAACTATTCTGTGTCCCTGAGTAACGATTCTGTGTCCCTCAGTAACAATTCTGTGTCCCTGAGTAACGATTCTGTGTCCCTCAGTAACAATTCTGTGTCCCTGAGTAACAATTCTGTGTCCCTGAGTAACAATTCTTGTCCCTCAGTAACAATTCTGTGTCCCTGAGTAACAATTCTGTGTCCCTGAGTAACAATTCTGTGTCCCTAAGTAACAATTCTGTGTCCCTGAGTAACGATTCTGTGTCCCTCAGTAACAATTCTGTGTCCCTCAGTAACAATTCTGTGTCCCTGAGTAAAAATTCTGTGTCTGTCCCTGAGTAACAATTCTGTGTCCCTGAGTAACAATTCTGTGTCCCTGAGTAACGATTCTGTGTCCCTCAGTAACGATTCTGTGTCCCTCAGTAACGATTCTGTGTCCCTGAGTAACAATTCTGTGTGCCTGAGTAACAATTCTGTGTCCCTGAGTAACGATTCTGTGTCCCTGAGTAACGATTCTGTGTCCCTCAGTAACAAATCTGTGTCCCTGAGTAACAATTCTGTGTCCCTGAGTAACGATTCTGTGTCCCTCAGTAACGATTCTGTGTCCCTCAGTAACAATTCTGTGTCCCTGAGTAACAATTCTGTGTCCCTGAGTAACGATTCTGTGTCCCTCAGTAACAATTCTGTGTCCCTGAGTAACAATTCTGTGTCCCTGAGTAACAATTCTGTGTCCCTGAGTAACGATTCTGTGTCCCTCAGTAACAATTCTGTGTCCCTGAGTAACAATTCTGTGTCCCTGAGTAACAATTCTGTGTCTGTCCCTGAGTAACAATTATGTGTCCCTGAGTAACAATTCTGTGTCCCTGAGTAACAATTCTGTGTCCCTGAGTAACAATTCTGTGTCCCTGAGTAACAATTCTGTGTCTGTCCCTGAGTAACAATTCTGTGTCCCTGAGTAACAATTCTGTGTCCCTCAGTAACGATTCTGTGTCCCTCAGTAACAATTCTGTGTCCCTGAGTAAAAATTCTGTGTCCCTGAGTAACAATTCTGTGTCTGTCCCTGAGTAACAATTCTGTGTCCCTGAGTAACAATTCTGTGTCCCTGAGTAACGATTCTGTGTCCCTAAGTAACGATTCTGTGTCCCTAAGTAACGATTCTGTGGCCCTAAAGTCTCTCTGGCCCTAACTCTGTCCCTAATACAGACAGGTCTGTCTCTCTTGAATGACCGGAGGCTAATGGAGAATTGTAATATGGCCGCAATTTATAGCTCCACCATTACACAGTGCTGGCTGGCTGGCTGCTGATTGGCTAATGCGATCACATGTCATGAATGAATGCATTATGGGTCAGCGCGCCTTGTCTGCACGCCTTCCCAGAGATCCCCGCTCCGTCGCCACACATGTCGCCGCCATTTTTGGGAAAATTCGATTCGTGCATCCGAAGTTTGCTAATTTTCGGATTCGGCGCGAATCAAATTTTTCCTGATCTTCGAAACGAATTCCACTTCGCCATGTTCGATTCGCTCATCTCTAGTGTTGACTTTTCTTCTTCTTTGATAACACAGCACCACACCTGCTGGTATCCCTTTACCTCCACTAACTCCATGCCAGGGGACTTCCACAACACCCCTGGTAATTAGCCTTTATATTAAAAAAAGATAGGAATATCTACACAGGTAATACAGTTTCCACACTTTGCTGATGTTTTTCTTCAAGATGGCAGCACAAGTCACATTACATAGACATACTTCCGGGGTCACTTAACAGAACTTTGTCAATCACATATAGTGGACATACCACAGCAGTCATCATGTGAAGCAGCACAGAGTACATCACCCTTATGCCATCTACCCTTTGCTTAGTCTCTCTTCTTCCCAGGGTCATTAGTACCTTAGGCATTTTGCAACCCGCTCTAACCTCCACCAATCATAGAAAGGAAGACTACAGCTGGCTCTTCTGGGTGCACAACTATCTCACCCTGTCCTCCTCTGCTCTGTCTAGGACTACATCTGTATGCTGGTAGGTATCTGCTCCCATGCTCTCTCTAGCTGGGACTCCACACAACCTGGCATATATATGCCCATTGACTCACTCATGACAGCACTACAGGAGGGCTCTAGCTAAAAGGAACCTAGCACCTGATTACACCTGATTACAGTTACCACACACTATTCTGGGACAAAGCCACCTAGTGACAGACTAGCTAACTTCACTTGCTTACAAGTTTGCACATTTAGGAGAGTAAAAACAGTTAAAAAGGTAATTGTTTCTCAGCAGATTAAAACCAGGTCATGAAGAACTCACCTGCAAACAACTGCAGCAGGTCATTTTATGGATACACTATATATATACACACTATATTTATTAACGTATATATTATTACTTGTAACCTAGTTTTATTATGAGTATGAATATGATGTTTCTGACTTTCTTATTATTTCTATGGTTTTTAGTATTTTTTTCCCAACAGAAAAGCAATGTCTTATCAAACATCCAAGTCCCCTCCAAGGAATGGATGTCCCTAGGAAATACTTTTGAAAGAAAATATCTTTTTCTATTTCTAATAGCACTCCTAGATGCACACTATTGTATCCTTACACTACCGAAGGAGCCTTGTGTTGTGTGGAATCAGCTTGGATTGCAGCACATGCTCAGCCCCACTGGAATGCAACACTCCTTGAAGTGGACGCACCACCTGAAATGCACGCCACGTTTAACTACGGTCTGCCCCATCCACACAGATCTGTGCCATTGAGCACACAAAACCCAATAAGTGTAGAGTGAGTAATCAATCTAAGAAGAATTCTCCTTTTATTCCTCACTCTTTTAATCCTTACTGTCATCACATTGGATTCATTCCCTGTATGTATTTGCCCTTTGGATTTTGTCACGTTTTTGTTAGTATTATCCAGATTGGCACTGGGACAATCTCTCTGTGGAATTACAGCATGTGCCCCACCTAGTGGTAACTTTGAATATCACAGGTTATTCCCACAAAACAAAATGCATATGACCTCTTTATACATTTGTTTTATATAATAAGTAAATAAATGTACATTTATATAACATACAAATTGTACAAATGGGAAGAGGGAAACCAACAGCACTACATGTAAAAATATAAAGAAATACAAAACAAAAAAAGCTGGATTTTAAAGGTGCCAAACTCTTCAACAATTTAAAAGAATGTACAAAATTTTATTGAAACAATTTGCATATAATCACATAAAAGCTATGAATACTTCCATTCCATTAGTTAAAGTTGGTTAAAAAACAGGATATGTTCACTGACAGCTCATAATGATAACTTCAGCGTTCATGTTTCGCCATGATCACCTCATCAGGAAGAGTATTACTGTCAGGATCAACTGGATCAAAAAATGAATTCAATTATAAACAAAAATATGCAAATGAACTTTAATGGCATCCCAGTCTTAGTCTGTAGGGTTCAATATTGAGTTGGCTCCCTTTGCAGCTATAACAGCTTCAACTCTTCTGGGAAGGCTGTCCACAAGGTTTAGGAGTGTCTCTATGGGAATGTTTGACCATTCTTCCAGGAGTGCATTTGTGAGGTCAGGCACTGATGTCAGATGAGGAGGCCTGGCTTGCAGTCTCCGCTCTAGTTCATCCCAAAGGTGTTCTATTGGGTTGAGGCCGGGACTCTGTGCAGGGCAGT